CATCCATATTGAGTGTCCATTACTCCTGGACATACCACATTAACTGACTCATTAGCTATTTCAAACCATATGGACTTAGGTTTGGGTGGGTTGCTCTGATAATATCCTGAGGTGAGCTTCCTAATTATTGTAATTATGTGATCTCAATCACGGGGCCAGTTGCACAAAATAGAGTCAAGAGTTTTTAAAATGGGTGTCAATGCACCTAGACAATGACTGAGTTGAGCAACATGCCCCCTGGATGTTGGAGATCCCTTGATACTACAAAAAGTAATTACTTTAAAAGTTCTAAGAAACTGGCAGGGAGCACAGTGACAACTGAATGAGCACAGCAAGCGCATGGGACTCTGCACAGATGTATGAACACAAATAGATTTCTCAGCAGAAAGAGGGAATCAGTCTGAAACTTGAAACCTTGTTGTCAGTGGTCTTAATACAGAGATGTTACATCTCCACTGTAAATTTAGCCATGATATTTTAAGCAACAAGGAGATCTGAAGTAGAGAGGAAGAATTAAATGTGGAAGTGCTAAAATGTCAGTGTTAAATACCACAAAAGCATCACAATGCAACAGTGACAGAAGCTACAAGCTGCTCAACTACAGTAGCAAATTCAAGGGGCTTTATGTATGTGATTCTGCAAGATTTCATATAATTGACTAAAATCTTTTCTACTCAAGCTTAGGTTTGAGCAAGAAGAAGAAAAAGTGATTGAAATAAGTGGAAAATGGATTGAATATTTATTGTACAGTACTTAACAACAAAGACAGAAACAAATACAGCCTCAGGACGGAGACAAAAAGAGTTTGTGGTGTTATTAAACACTTAAAGAAAGCACTTGCTCCCTGAGAATCTCGCCACACTTTTGAAATGCAACCCATGATAACACAGCATAGCTTTCTGTCACCCTCTATTCCAGAAAGATTAGGAGTAGAGTGCTGCTTCTAAACCACAGGTCAGGATAAAACTTCTAAAGTTTGCACCTTGCAGGCTTACTTCCAACTTCTGAAGTGCCTCTTAGGCATCTACAAATCCAAAAGGCCAGATATTAAATAGCACCAGACACCTGAATACATAACTAGATAGCAGAACCATACATTCCAGTTAGCTAGATATGTAACTTTAAACCACTGTATAAAGTGATCTACATTCTTCACCTCCAAACCAGAATACCTTACAGAAAAGCCTGCCCAGGACACTAGTGATAATCACAGAATAACCTAAGAAGTACAGCACCACCATTTTCTTTTCAAATAATACAGTAATAACCATACCTCTATCAACTCTGTAGAGAAGCTCAGATTTCTTCATATATTGTGTATCAGCAAATGTATCCCAAGCAAAATAAATTAAAAGAACTCTAAAGATATCAAGAGCACTGAAACAACCATCCAAACAGAGCTTCTTCCACCACTCCTAATATATAATTCTGCTTAATGAAACTCAGCTCATCTGAGCTGCATGAGGGATAGATTCTTCATGAGAAAGGCCTGTGGCTCTCAGCTGTTAGCAGCAATGTGCCATTAGGAAGTAAAATAACAGTAATTTGGTAGCATTTTCAGTTGTATACTTGTAGGATTTGTATATTTTTAGTCTTTTTAGCATATACACCTTTCTCCAATAAGGATTCCTAAATTTAGCAGAAATGTTGGCTTTATCACCTTGAAGGGAAATTGCTTCCATCATAATAAGGCTTTTCTGAAAAAAAAACACCAATCAACAAACAAAACCCCCCACCCTTCTATCTATCTATTCATCCCCTTTACATCACATCCTCAAACTGCTAATTTGAAGCAACTGTGAAGAGGCACTGGAGGCTTTAACCTACCTAAATGAAGCTCATGTTTCTTGGGAGGGTTGCTAATTGGCTGATGATAAGTAGAAGGAAAAAAAAAAAAAAAAAAAAAAAAAAAAAAAGCAGCTTTCTTAGTCCCACCCACAAAACACAGCAATGTGCTATTTATAGGGCAACAGGCCCAAGTATCAAGTTTTAATCTGATTAGAGCTTTTTTCAGGTAAAGTCTTTGATCTCTGTTATTTTTTAAAAAGATATATGTGTTAATTTTTTATTTTATCTTGTCTAGAACAGAATTGTATGAAAAACTTGCTAGTGGCATTAGCATACATTTTTTTGTAGGCCTAGTCATTATGGTTGTTTATTAATAAGCATCTAGATTTAAGTACTAAACAAACTAATTCTTCAGGAGTAGCCTAGCACATGCAGGAAACTCTTGTTTTCAGTGAACTTTTTTTGACTCAAAATTATTAGTCTCTATTACATTCCTGTGTGATTGTCTTTGAGGGTTTTTTAACTCTTGTAAAGAATGATAAAAGCTTCAAAATCTTTAACTTTACATCTATTCTTTCTCTTAAAAAAAAAAAACAACCTCCAACCAAACCCACAACTATTTTCTGTGACTTGTAGGGTATATATCATAAACACTTTTATACTATCCCTCTTAAAAAAAAAAAAAACAACCTCCAACCAAACCCACAACTATTTTCTGTGACTTGTAGGGTATATATCATAAACACTTTTATACTATAGGATAATGTTAAACTGCACAAGTTGTGAAAGAGCTACATATTAAAGATCACTAGGACTTCAGATACTTTTCCATTTGGATGGCACTGAAGCTGTAAACTTGCAATGTCTTTTATTTTAGAGTACTAGGAAACTTTTGTTTAAAAACTGAAGACCTTTAACCTCAGCTACCTATGTAGGTATCTGTCTTGTATGAGTCAAAGGGATGTTATGTAGCCTGACTTAAGTTTTCACAAACAGTAACAGATTATATTATGCCACTTTATTTAGTAACAATTAAATAGACACTTGTGTGTACCTATTTCTACTTTTAGTTTTGTTATTATCTAAAAAATTACTATTTTTAAAATAGCCTTTTCTGCTGACTTTGTTATTCCTCAGAACTGCATGAACTTTTTGTGATCTTATACATGCTCATGAATAAAAAGCACTAAATAAGTTCAAAACTATATTTCTGAACTGTAAAGTTTTGCATTGAACCTCAACCTTTCATTAAATCAATACACTAATTTATATTTCTGAACTGTAAAGTTTTGTATCGAACCTCAACCTTTCATTAAATCAATACACTCCACTAACTTCTTGATGTTACAGTATTCTCAACAGCTTCATGGGAACAAAAGGGAAATCAACTCTAGTTCTTGCGTATTTAAAAATAAAATAAAAATAAGAATGTTTAATCAGTTTTGTTTCTTTAGAATCATGTATCTTTCTATTCATTTATACTTAATCTGTTTTTTTCCTCCATGCAATTTCTACAAATTTTGAGTCTTTCAATTTATGGGGGTTCCTCCTGGTTCTACTAAAAAAAAAAAGCAAGCCTTAAACTATATAACAATGTAGATGTCTGCTAGCAATCTAATGCTATCACTGGTATCTGCTAAATGTCTAGAAGACAGATGCAAAACTGATCTGATTTGTTTTACTTCCTTATCCTGACATGGTATTTTTGTGGGCGGGGAAAGATAGCTCAGAAGCAGGAAACTGCTTAATACATGCTTTCATTTCAGTTTAATCATCTGACTACCTCTCTGTAACAGTTAAGCAAAAAGGCTTTCTCCTTAAACAGAGGCTGGTTCTCTGATTCCCAGGCAACTATTTGAAGACCATTTTCTTCTGAAAAAACCCTTCACCCATGGCAGAATGGTGGGTCTCATCCCAAGTGACATATAACCCCAGCAGCAATGCCCAAGAGGTGCTAACTCTCTCCATTTGAGTGGTAATGGTTTCTTTGATGCAGCACTGTGCATCTGTGGTTGGGGTGTTAGGTTTTTTTGAAAACACATAAAACAACCCCAACACCACCTTCCTACAGCCTGTTTAGATGGCTGTTGCAAAGGGGAGAAACCTTATGAAATGTTTTATGGCAATCTTGAATGTTTGCTTTATGACTGAGCTTTCTACTGGCAGTTCTTTAGCTGGTCCTTACAGTAACGCTAAAGCCACAAAGCCTGCAAAACTGGTGAAGCAGAAAGGGTTGTTATGTTGAGGCCTACTCTACTGGTGGCAATAAATATATATTTTACAGTTGTAATTTGTGTTAGTACTTATAAATTCATTTGCAAATTATGTAGTTGCTGAGGGTGTCCTGGAATTTGATTACTCTTGAACCTTTTTTGGAAAAGGACTTGTAGTCATTCCTTGGAAGATGTGGTGGTTACCAGTGACCTCTACCTAGGTGTAGTGGGTTTGCTGGGTGGGTGGGCCCTATTGATAGAGCAAAGCTCACACAAGATGGTGGCTTGTTGTCAGAAGTATGCCCTGTGAGCTTGGGAAGTAAAAAGACTCATCGTGTCCTTTATTACCAACACACGAGCTGATGGCAGTGTTGGGGCTGATCTTCCTGTATCTTTCTGGAGCACTGGCTGACCAGCCTGTGAGATGGCCATTGCCTCTTCACACCGTGCTACGGGGCTGCTGCTGGCTCCCAGCACTCCAAGCAATGCAAATCTCTACATCGTCTCAACCTGAGTGAAGACTGGAGCTGTTGCGGGCTGGTTTTGGGTAAGTATGGATGTTTGTGTGTGGAAATGACCCTGGAGTGGCCAGCTGTGGATCTACACCTGAACGATCCTGAGGTAAAAATGAAGTGGCCTGACTGAGGGGTGGCACCCTGGCAGCTCTCTGACTTCACTACAGCTCCTGAAGCCCTTGATGTGCATGAAACCCTCCTTTTTACCTGCGGCAGGGAACAGTCTGATCAATTTCTGCACGCTCCAAACCACTTTGAGGGGGTAAAAAAAATAAATTCCTCACCTGCGAAGCGCAGCTGAAAAAGCGGGAGCGCCGGAGCGGGCGGGGCCCCAGGTGCGCTGTCCCCGCCTCCCTTTCCCCCCGCAGTGACGCCTCGCCGCCTCAGGGCCGAGCGCCGCGCGACGGGGAGGCGGGAAACGGCGCGCGACACCCTCTCCCCGCCCCGGGCCCGGCCCCGCCTCGCTGAGGGGAGCGGGGCGGTGGCAGGAGTCCAGCCCCGCCGGCAGCCAGACAGGGCGGGCTGAGCCCTCAGAGTCCCGTCCGGGGCTAGCCCGGTACTGCCCCCCGTGCTGGGGTTTTCCCGCGGGAAGACGGCAGCCCGCCGCCTCCTCCTCCGCCTGGGCCCGGCCTCTGGGAAGTTCCCGGTTGGGAAGTTTGTAGCCAGCGCCTGGGGGAGGCCGCGGGGCCCCTGCGGAGGTGGGTGTGAGGGGAGCGAGCGGTACGGCCGAGCGCGGAGCGCTGACTGCCCCGGTCTCCTCGGCCGGTGGAGGGGAGGCCGTTGCGAGTGAGCCGCCCCGGCCGCTCAACTGAAGGGGGGCGGGGGAGAGGCGCCCGGCCGCCGTCCTGAGGGAGGAGGCGGCGGAGAGCTGGGCCCAGCCGCCGCCGTGAGGGCGAGGCCGCGGGGAGCCGGGCCCCTGCCTGGGGCCTGTTGGGCAGAGGACGTCGAGGGATAGTTTCTTCTGACAGAAGTTAACTACTTCTTTCATTTCTCCCATCCCCCTTCTCCCCCCCATCCCTCTGAAGGTGCCATGCCGCCTAAGGGTCGCGGCAGACGCAAGCTGCCAGTTCCTCTTCCAAGAGACATGATCCTGAAAGACACCGAAGGAAAAGTCTGGAGGCTGGGCACTCAGATCGGCCAGGGAGGATTTGGCTTGATCTATTTAGGTAAAATGCTGGTGATTATTAGAAGAGTGACTTGTACGTGTTTTTTGATAACTTTCTGACATGAATAACAAGACAGCATGGTTTTAAGAAGTTGCTGTTGTTTACATGCTGGTGGTCATTTGGGTTGAAGTGTGGTTTTCTGATGTTTGCAGTGCCCTGTTGGGTGTCTTTGTTGTTCAGAAGCCGTGGTGGTGGTGCAGCATGTTCTCCATGGGCCGTCCAGCCCAGTTTACTGGCTCCTAGTACACTTTTCTATGGAGCTTGCATGGGGTAGGCAAAGTGCTGCTGCTGTCAGACTACTGAAGAGCACTGCCAGGCAATGCTCTTCAAAGTAATGATGATGCTTTTCTGAGCTGCCACTTTGGACTTAGGCCAGCCTTGTGCTCTGGAGTGCCCTGGGTTTCCAGTTAGTGGAAATTTTATCTTCTGGCTAAGACTAAATCAGTTATCATCCAAGAAACATAACAGTAACAATAGGTTGCTGAGTGTTGCCTCTGAATTAAAGTCTTTCACCAGAGGTAGAAATGCAGTTCTTTATATGCTGTAGCCTAGATATGTTTCTGTATTTTCTTCAGAATAAGCTACTGCATTTCGCTCAGTGTGTGTTTTATAAGGAATGAATTGTTCTGAAAGGCAGTTTCTTAAGCACTTTGGGTCACTGGAAAGGATATAACATATGTTATTATTGCTGATCTCTATGAAAGAGCAAATCCTGTTTTCAAGGCAATATTATGAGTTTGGTGGGATTTTTTTGCATGACAAACATATACTGGCAGACTAGTCCATAGTAACTGTTAGGGACTAAATTGAGCTTCTATTAAGACAGCAGTAAAGAATTATCTAGAAGCAGTTTAGTACATCGTCCCTGGAGCCAACCATGATCTTCTAAAGTTAGAGGTATGTTAACTCTCTATTTGGGGTATTAGTGTTTAAAATTTGATCAGCAAGTCACTCCTATACATAAATCGCCTTTTTTAATGCATAAATCAGCTATACCTTCTTTTTTTCTGCTTTTCCTGTTTGTGTGTTTCTGCCATGGAAAATATGCTTTTGATTGTTTCCCAGTCTTGGTTTTTTTCAGTTGATCTCTTAATGATATTTCCCTCATATTGAGTGATTTGTCAGAAAATACTCTGTTAATATTGTTATACAGCATGAGCTTTTCACTTAGTGTGATTTCCAGATTTTTATAACGCGACAAGTTTTCATTAGAACAGGCATCGTATGTCATGAGCCTTCTCAGTTGTGTTCAGTAACTCTTTTCAAATATGCAGAGCTGTGCTACATTCAGTGTGGTTTCATGGAGGTGGAAGAGTTGTCTCTCAGTGTCTCAAATTGTAGTATCAGCCACCTACTGTAGGGAGAAAAGGTGTGAATTTTCTGTAGAAGGATTAGCATGTTTGGTCTGTTCTTTGCAGACGTAAATGTAGCACTTGTGTGCCTCTGGTCTCTTGGTGACAGATTTACTGTGGTCTTTGTTACATCTGTCTGGCTATCTCATGGTGCTTGTCTGCTTTTAGCTGTTAGGAACATGTTACATGGCATTTCCTCTCCTTCTTTTTATCCTCTTCATGTCCGTTATGGTTAATTGCAAAGAACCGAATGGCAACTGAGGGGACATATTTTATTTCATGGTGTGATAGTCCCCTATGTGGTCAGATGTTGCTTCTCTGAAGTGGTTGCCTAGTTGTACTGTTCTTCCAACTGTTAAAGTGTGGCTGTAAACTACAGGAGGGTGGACAATTTTACTTGTGCATCTGGACTTAAGTTGCACCTAGACTTTAGGTTGGAGTGGAGAAGATTTCTAGGGGAGGAAAAAAGGTCCAAGCTGGCACTTTATTCCACGGAATGCCTGTGTAAATGAAGCAAAAAGATTTCAGTAACAACCTAAATGCTGCTATTTCTGCTTTTCTGCCGAATAAGCACAGTCACTGAAAAACTTGGAGGAAACTAAGGTTGTGTATGTGTTTGCAAGAAGTGAATGAGTAAATTGCAGCAGTTGGTGGGCAAGGCCCTACGTCTCCCCTTGATTTAAGTTGAGGGTTTGTTTTACTTTGGACGAGACTCTGCTGCACTGAGTTTCCTCACCAGGTGCATGGTTTGAGGCTGTCGGGAGAACTATTTTGAATCGTTATGTTGCTTTTAGTATTTGGAGTGCATCTAGTGGGTTCCTGTGGTGGAGTTCTTGGTTTGGTTTCCTCTGGAATTCATATAGTTCACACATACCTAGCTGCTCTGCAGACTGAACCAGTGGGGATGACTGGGGTTTTCAACTATCTCCAGTCAAAGAAGAGTTGAAGGCTAGTGCACTTTTAGGATATTTACGTTCTTTTTCCTTTTGTTATATCTGATAGCTTTTTATGACCTTCTTTGAAACATTAGTTGGTTACCTTTGAGAGATGCTGTGCATAGAGCGTATATGAGATGTTACCATAAGAAAATAGACTTTAGCATGAGCTAAGAAGGAAAGTTAAGGTGTTTTTGGGTATTGCCATTGAAGGATAAAGGAAATGAAGACAGAAACTTGCAGAAGGCTCCCACAGAGAGAAGGGTCTGAGGGTGCAGTGCAGAAAGCAAGGTTGGAGTGGGTGTAGCTCTTCACGTGTAAGACAAAAAATGTCTTCCTGCAGCCCCGTCATTTTCTGTTGCAGTCAAATCACACTGGACCTTGTGGGTGGTAGAGCTTTTGGATTCAGTCAGTTTCATGCAGATTGGATTAGTTTTCTGCCTGATGACACAGACCACTGAAGTGATTTCATATATTGTGGTGTTTGTTGCAGCTTGGCTCTCACTGAACCGAGGTGGAAAGCAGTCAGTGGATTAGTTGAGAATGAGAATAAAATCTGGGACCCTTGGTATTACTATTTTGTGTTTTTTTGTAAGTGACAGCATGGCTGAAGAAATACAGCTGCCACTTTTATAATGGTATTTGTGTTCCTTCAATCTCTTCTTTCAGAAGGGGTGGTGAATGCTACATGTAGCGCTGAAGTGAAGGCTGAGTTCCTTTATAGCTCATTCTACAATTGAAAAGGGAAGTGGGCAAGATTTATCCCCAAGTATCGATGCTGACTGAAGTTCTATTGTTTACTCCACCTCCTTATCTCTAATATCTGTTTATATTGTGTAAAATACACTATTCAGTACCTCTTTTGGGCTTGACCCTACAAAAGACTGTAGCAGTCTTTGAGAGTGAAGGGAAGTGATGATGAAGCTTTGAGAGTAAGATACAGATGCTTGGTGCTGAGAGGCAGCTTCTCTCTCTATGCTGTTCAGACTGGTTTTTAGTGCATATACAGCAAGATATGGAAGGACCACTAAATTTTCAGTGAGAAGCTGACCCAGAAAGAGCTGTAGAAAGGTGGGCACGACAGGAGATAGGAGACAGGTTCAGCTGCCTGCCAGATATGAACAGGACAGCCCTTTTGTGAAAGTAAAGGTTAACTTTGCTGGCTATATCTTTTAATAAGTATTTTTACAGCAGCGGTGTAAAGATTTTGATGTGCGTTGTTATAGCTTAATTTCCCATTAAGGGTACTCCATACTCCATTAATCTATAACAATGTTCTGGAGAAATTTTACAGTATCTCTGCAAAATATATTTATAGGGGATGCATTCCATGGAAGGTTTGGTACACTAAATCAAAGCTGCTGAAAGCCATTTACTGACCCTGAACCTGGGGATGCAAATATTCTCTTCAGGTGTAGGGCTTCTAAACTTCTAATTAAGTACATGAAAGTTACCACTACCTACAAGTTCTGTCCTCCTTTGCCTCACAAATGTTTTCCCTGGTTTTCTGATTATTCTTTCTCATCTCTGCTGTTTTGTCTGTTTCTTTGTTAACTTGTTCCTTCCCTTGGATTATCCTTTGCATATTTATCTCCACCAGACTAAATCCAGCAGCAGAAGGCTTACAAATACTGATTCCTTCCAATTGCTTATGAAGCAGAGAGCTTCCTCTGGTGCCAGAAGGAATAGAAGCCATCTAGAGATGTTCTCTCCAGCTTTCCTTTTGTTGTAGCAAGAGCAATACGAATCATAAGATGAAATTAATTATGTTGTTGTATGTTAGAAGTTTTATTTTATTTTATTTTAGTTACTGGTGCTGATTTGCTCTCAGGCACCTCAGACAGAACTGTTATCCCTTTGATAAGTGGGAGCAGAATGGAGAGCAACTGAGGAAGAACATGACATTGGTGGCCTCACGGCTAGTTTGTAGCTCTGTAGAGAACATGGCAATACACTGGAAAATTAAGCAAGCGTTGACAAGGGTGCTACTGAGAGCCTTACATTCTCTCATTTATCTTCCTGATCACAGTCAGTAATTAACACCAGTCTTTATATAAATCATTTTCTAGTTCTGCTTCAAGCACTCTATTAATGCACGATTTGGACTGAAAATTTAAATGCAGAAAGGTCACACAACATTTTGTTAACATTCCACTGTCACGGTGAAATCTGCTGTACACAGCATTATCTACTTGCAGGCTTCTTTCTCATGGAAACAAATGGTTCTGCAAAATATTTATCTTTTTATATATAATTGTAGACACATGTTTGTTAGATGGTGTCTTTTACAATAGAACTTATTACATAGTAAATATATTTGAATTGTATTATGTGTGTATAGTGTAATGGAACTTTGTGATAGGTGAAAAACGTAGAGTTTTTAAACCATTTTTTGAAGCTGAATTTGCAGCAGGTGTTTATATATTGCTGTTTGACTGCTATTTTTGCATGTGTTGTTATAACATGGGAAGCACAAGAGAGTATGTATTGATAAATTCATTACCAAGTTCTGCCCTGCAGTATAGCCAGCATGCTATCCTTTTTTCCACACCTCCCACCCCCCCATTTTCTAAGAAGAGACAAAGAACATCTGCTTGAGCAGTAAACAGTGATTAAATCAGTGAATACTGTCTTTTAATACTAGCAGCACAGGGAGTTCTGCTGCTGCTGCTGGTGGAGGTAGGGAAGAGGTGTGGTTGTGGCCTTTTCTGCT